GCCGATCCGGCCTCTGCAGGAGTCTCGTGTCCCGCCCTGGTGCCACGTTTCGGGAAAGCCTGAGAAAGTCCAGCAAAGAGCAACAAAACCGACTGACGGTCTAGAAGACGTGAGGGAAGACGGAAAAAATCAGGCTTGTTTAGTCTGCAGAAGAGAAGACCGAGACGGGACGTGAGAGCGGTTTTCAAGTATCTAAAAGGGTGTCATGAGAGGAGAGGAGAGAAATGGTGGTTTGTCACCTCTGAGGCCAGGACAAGAAGCCGTGGGCTTAAACGGGAGCAGGAGGAGGTCAGGTAGGAAGTTTTTCCTAATGTCCAGTCTGGTTAAACACCGGAATAAATTCCCCGGGGAGGTTGTGGAATCTCTCTCACTTTCAGAGCGGGTTCGACAGACGCCTGCCATGGCCTAGATCAGTTGTTCCCAATCTTTTCGGTCGGCATCACGCCCCCTTTTTGAGAATCTCTCTCTCTCTCACACGCACACACATTTATATTTTGCAGCCACGGGCGAGTCGATTGCATTTTTGGTCCAGCCCTGTCTGTGATGCTTAAATTGAATTCTTTGAGGAGTGAGTTCTAAAAAGCCTAACCGGTCACGTCCGGAGTCATCGTCCTGATGCTGGTTGAGGGTTGGGAGGCAGCCGGCAGCCCCCGGGCAGGGCGGCTCAGGGGGTCTCCACGTGCCATCCTTGCCTCCAGACGCTGCTCCTGCAGCTCCCGTTGATCGGTAGTGGAGCGCTGTGGCCCGTAGAGGCTGTGCGGTCGGGGGCTGTTGTGGAAGGGGGTGGTACTGCAGGCCTGGTGCTTTCGGGGGTGGTGGAGGGGCTGGGGTTAGGGTGAGTTTTAGAGCCACAGCAAGCTAACCCCCCAGCACTCCCAAAAGCAGCTGGCATTACAGGAGAGGGTCAGGGCTGCATTATGACCTTCGTGGGCCCTAGAAACTTTTGCCTAAAAGTTATTTTTTGATGTAACTTTAAATACTTCTGCTTTAGGCAAAATTTCGTAGATTTTCGTGAGCCCTAAAAGTTTCATTGTTTTCTGATGCGAGGAAAGAAATGCAAACCTTTTCTTCGATCCTAAATGTTCATTTTTCTCCCTTCTGATTGTAAAAGAAATTAAAACATTTTCGCGGGCCCCTGAAAGTAGCGTGGGCCCCAGACCCTGTGCCTAATGGATACGTCGGCCTGGGAGAGGGTGGAGGTGTAAGTCCCATTGATCCACAGGCTCCAACCCACAACCCCTCCGCTGGCCACAGCTCACTACTGATCAATGGGAGCTGCAGGAGCATTTGGGGAGTGGAGGGTGGTGAGTTCAAATCCCACCCAGCCTGGGAGCAGTGACCTCTGCTGCTGGCACAGACCCTGTGCCTAATGGATACGTCGGCCTGGGAGAGGGTGGAGGTGTAAGTCCCATTGATCCACAGGCTCCAACCCACAACCCCTCCGCTGGCCACAGCTCACTACTGATCAATGGGAGCTGCAGGAGCATTTGGGGAGTGGAGGGTGGTGAGTTCAAATCCCACCCAGCCTGGGAGCAGTGACCTCTGCTGCTGGCA